TTACAATATTGTTGGTTCAATTTCTAAAAGCTTTGTTTTGGAAAATAGAAAAATCAAAGCACAAAAAGCTTAGTTTGACTGTGAGTGAAAACAATTTCTTTTCATTTTAGGATGAAAGATTTTGTTTATCAATAATCATTTTTTAAATTTTCTTTTTTATATCTATTTTTACTTTTGTCATTGTGAGTCTTGAACTCTGGGCCTAGGCACTGTCCCTGCGCTCTTCAGCTCAAGACAAGAGCTCTACCATTTAAGCCACAGCACTACTTCCAGTTTTCTAGTGGTTAATTGGAGATAAAAATCTCACAGACTTTCCTGCCTGGGCTGGCTTTGAGTTGCAATCCTCAGGGTCTCAGCCTCCTGAGTAGCTAGGATTACAGGCATGAGCCACCAGCACCCAGCCTAGCAATAATCTTATAAGTACAATTAACAGGGTAACAAGGACATTTAGAAAGAAATAAGATTCAGGAGCTTATTAATTTGCATGAATATACACAGTCATGAATACATACATATGCATGTATATACATATAAACCCACATATATACCTTTATGTGTGCATATGTTTATATATTATTTGCATATATTCAGTTGTTTAGTTTTGCTTTACATTGTTCAAGTTGATCGGAACGTCGTGGAGTACTTCTTTAGAAATTTTATTTAATAACAAACTAGTTTTCATATAAGATTTTTATATTATTCTGTTAATATTTTATATGCTATCTTAATGTACTAATTCAGTCTCCTATCATGTTTAAGCTTATATTCCAATCACCTACTTTCTCCGTATGCTACATCTTGGGCATGGGTTTTAATAATCTGAAAGCTTAAAATGTCCTCATTTTTAATAATTTAAATAAGCTTGACTATTAAACACTTAAATACCACATGAAAGTAAAGTCAAATTTTCTTAATAAGAATAGAGCTTATAAATATGTTAGAAACAATATCAAGAAAAGAAAAACATTTGAGTCCTTATCTTGGGGTTCATTTTGCCTAACATCGTTATCTGACTGTTTCTGCTTGCCATTTTCACAATAAAAAAATAAGAATAGAGCTAAGTAGTAGAATGCTTTTGTATCGCCTATAAGGCCCTGGGTTCTTCTGTTCATACCAACACAAGACAAAGGTGGAACAAGCAAACACAGAAATAGCATAACATCAATAACACCAATACATTTAAGCAAAACCTGCATGCATTTAGTTAAGTCATAAACCATGCAGATTCTTGAAGGATAATGTTTCAGGCTGATGTATTAGACATTGAGAAGATCATAAATAAAGGCATTCATGGACTGCTTCAAGCAGAGCCTCAAAGCCTTTTCAGACAACATAGACTGAAATATTAGAGAGATCATAAAAATGAATGATTGATTTGTTTTTATGTGATTTGCATTTTGCTGCAGAATGGTGAGGAAATGCAGGAGAATTCTGTGAATTGTCCTGATGTGGGCTGCTTTATGGTTTGAAAGGATCATTGTAGGTTTCTAGTTTAGAATGGATTGAAATGTAGGGGTAAGTGTCATACAAACAACTTATGACATCTTTTTGTCCCGATATTACATATCATACTTCCAAAGCAGCCTGGGGCCAGAAATGAAGATATAGAGACATTTCATATGACTAAGAGATGAGAATTCCTGCTTTTCTATGTTATGTGTTTATTTAAATAAATGTTTTTGTGTTGCCAATAATATAGTTTTTGTTTATAAAACATGATAACTGAAACAGATTTTCTGAATAATTTTATTAACTTTAAGTAGTTATACCAAGGCGTTTCCATGCACCTAAGCCAATTTATAAATAGAGTGCATCTTGATAAACATTTCCCCTTTCAACATTCTTCCCAACCCTTCCCAACCCAACCTTTCCTTCACTTAATTATAGGTTTTGTACTGAATTGTTCTGCAATTTAACAAAGCAGTTTATGTATGCAATGCATCTATATCATCACCTCAACATCTTTACCTCCTTTTGATATACTCTTTCCCTTATATTTCTAAATTTTGTGGGATATACAATGAGTTTTTGCCTGGATTCTCTTCCAATTCTCCCCTTTATACTTCTATATCTCTGCCTTTGACCCCTACCCTCCCTTCTTGCAAGTACCCATTCCTGGTCCTTATTCTGGGGGCTTTGATTTAGTCTTTTTAAAGAGTGATACTATTTGCACTTGCCACGGAGTCTGTTACGCTTCAGCTGATTCATTTGTAACTCCTTGGTAGATTTTATTCTTGGTTTATTATACTGTAATTTTAGTTAGAAAGACTAATATTTGATTTATCTTTCATTGTAAAAGCCAAGTCATATAGACGACATGGAAATTATATAACCTGGGACAAGTGTTTACAGGTTGAGGTATGCCACCTCCAAATACTACTTTGGTATTGATCCTCATATCATTGCTGTCCTTTGAATATCTTCATGAAAATTCTTGTTGAAAACTCGTAAGTGGTGAGACCATGTGAGACTTTTAAGAAGTAGTGGGGTCATCTGTGCTCTTCTACCATGAATGGATTCATCTATTCACAGAAGAATTGGTTCATGGGTTTTCTAGACAGTAGGTTTGTCATAAAATCCCATTTAGCTCTGAGTCTTGTATGCATCCCTGTACCCTGTGAGGCCTTGAGTGGTCTCGGATTTCCCCACCAAATTTACTGGAAGAAAGTCAACAGCTGCAGCCCCCTGGATCTTGAACATCACCTTCCATACCTGTGAGATGCATCATCTTTTCTTCTTTATAAATTTGCTGAGCACATACCTGATTATAGTAGAGAAAGCCAATTAAGAGAACTTGGGAGAAAGTAAACTTTTATTAATCAGTTGGGAAAATAACAATCTAATCACTTCCTCTAGAGAGGTTTCTCCTCCGGGGGAAAATTCTTTATAGCTAATCATTTTGTAAGAGAAAGATTTAAGGGAAGATTCTGTTATAGATTATTCCCACTTTCTCTTTTGTCAGGTTTAGTTATCTGCCATTCTTCTATAGAGAATTCACTTGTAAACTCCACATTTTCGGAATTTTTCTTCATTCTCAGGTGGGTTTGAAAGGTGACAAGACAAAGCTAGGCTCTTAGATTTTATTTCATTTTAGGTTTTAGAAATACTCTAATGATTCTATTAGCACTATAATTGTGAAAACTGGGAGAAAGACATATACACCAAAAAATGAACTTTTAATAGAAATTACATTTTATGCTACAATTTAATAATATATTACATTTAAAATTATTCTTGCTTTATTTTGTGTTCTGAATGAAACCCACTATCATAGTGACAAACATGTAATAAAATTATAAAATTTTATTTAATTAAGTCATATTGAACAATAGAAAAATGAAAACGAAAACAAAATTTGAATAAAACAAGCTTACTTCCAGAGATGCTAGATTATGCATTCAAAAAATCCTTAAAAATAAGAACTCTTGCTAAGACATTTACTATTACTTTATAGCTACTGGAAAAGCAAAGTAAATCTCCACATTTGTTCATAGTTTGATTTGAAATAGAGTAGTCAATTAAGGGAAGCTTATACATTTTTACCTTTTGGTCCTGAGAAAAATCTGCCAAATGCTTTTGACATCACTAGCTCTCTCATTCTTTGCAGACTTCCCATTCTTTTGCATCAGATCTAAACAACCCAATTTTCCAAAACCCAAAAGTTTTGCTATGATTGTCTATCACCTGTTCAATAAACACTCGGATTTTTCTTGAGTGTAACTTTAGCATAATGTTAAAACATACTATGTCTACTACCTTTATTTGATTGGATCATCCTTAGATAATCTTTCTACAATTTGATCTGACTAATACAATAGGATCTCTATCTACAATCATAGTTTTATTTAAAAATATGCAATATTTAACAATCAAGAGACTTCAGGTATGTGATATGTATGTCTTACCAACCAGAGGATAATATTCCTTGCTTATAATCTATTCTGATAGGATCTTGGAAACAATTTTAACAATGTGGTAACCTACTTTGCACTTAATACAGAAATGTGTTCTATGGGAGTTGATTCTAGTTTTAGATGACTACATATTTTTTCATTCTTTTAAAATTTTACCAATGATTTAATACCTTGACTAGACTAAGATTATGAGGTCACATAGTAGGATGTTAATTTTGCTAGGTTGGTATATTTCAACCTTATTATTGTTTGAGTAATTTCTTTCCAAATGAGTGAGTGAAAAGTTTTATCATCATAAGGCACCATTTATTTGTACTTTAACAATGAAAATTTCATGGTTTTCTGCTCTCTTACTTCTTTCCCTACTTATAAGCAGTGATAATTTATGGATACAATCCAAAAAATTGTAATTCAACAAATTACAGCATTTGAGGTTAAAAGGTAGGAATTTAGGAATAGCCCTTTGCCTTAGATATACTATTAAATTATGAAACAATTCACAATCCAATCTTCACTAAATTCATTTTTTTTTTGCTGAAATGCTATTTCAAGTTCTTATTACATAGATGGACAACCCATGCAGATGCATTGATTGGAAAAGAATCTTTCTTTACCAGATATTTGTATATGAGTATCAAATTTTGAGTTAAATATGCAGAGAAAATATGAGAGAGTTATTTCCCTGACAACTTCTAATGGTATAGCTCAGAGGATGATTGTGTTTCTATAAGAAGTTGAACACAGCATCAAGTTATCTCACTATTATTTGATATGATTCTTGTCCAAAATAGGTATGAATACTTCACGAAGCAATAGTATATTCAGAATTAATAAATAATTTTGCTAGAAATATTTCTGAAGAACAATTCAAGCTTTGTAGAAACTTAAAAGGAAGTGAATATTCTAAATTTAAAAATAAATTTGGAAAATATTCAATAACATTTCCTAGAATTCCTCTAGATCCTCTTTATTTTCTTAATCATGCCCCCATTATAGATCTGTGAAATTAACAATCTATGCGTAGAAAGTACAGATTTGCATTAATATCTCTAAATCACTTATTTCATTTTAGTGGTGCAGAGATTTAGATCTCATTTTGACAGAACTATGGAAATGCTAAATTTCACAGATGTGACAGAATTCATTCTCTTGGGATTAACCAGCCAAAAGGAATTACAAGTTCTCTTCTTCGTCATTTTCCTTGTGGTCTACATTGTCACCATGGTGGGCAATATTGGCATGATTATGTTAATTAAGGCCAGTCCCCAGCTTAATAGCCCCATGTATTTTTTCCTTGGTCACTTGTCCTTCATTGATGTACTGTTTTCTTCCAATGTCACCCCTAAGATGTTGGAAAACTTGTTATCAAAGACAAAAACCATTTCCTATGCAGGTTGTTTGGTGCAATGTTTCCTCTTCATTGCCCTTGTCCATGTGGAAATTTTTATTCTTGCTGTGATGGCCTTTGACAGATACATGGCAATTGGGAATCCTCTGCTGTACAGCAGCAAAATGTCCAGGATTGTCTGTATTCGACTGATTTCTTTCCCCTACGTGTATGGCTCTCTGACTAGTCTGGCTGCAACATTATGGACTTATGGCTTGTACTTCTGTGGGAAAATTGAGATCAACCACTTCTATTGTGCAGATCCACCACTCATCAAAATGGCCTGTGCAGGGACCTTTGTGAAAGAATATACCATGCTCATACTTGCAGGCATTAACTTCACCTATTCCCTGATTGTCGTCATCCTGTCTTACATATTCATTCTCATTGCCATCCTAAGAATGCACTCAGCAGAAGGAAGGAGAAAGGCCTTTTCTACCTGTGGATCCCATCTGACAGCTGTGGCCATTTTTTATGGTACTCTGATCTTCATGTATCTCAGACGGCCCACCAAGGAGTCAGTGGAGCAAGGGAAGATGGTGGCTGTGTTCTACACCACAGTGATCCCCATGTTGAATCCCATGATCTACAGTCTGAGGAACAAGGATGTGAAAGAAGCCATGGACAAAGCCATTAGCAGAGCATGTCTCACAAAATAAACCAAGAGAGTTAGGTTTGTTTTCTGTTATCTATTTGGCAACAGATTTCTCCAATAAGGGGAACATCAATCTGAATACTTTTTAGAGGAAGAAAAGAAACACAATGTAAATTAGTAAACAAAAATAAAAGGTAAACTGAATAATTAGTGTTGATAAAATCTTTGAATATAGTTATAGAATAATATGTGTAAAATGAATTATGTCAATGTTCATATGCACAACAGCTGATGAAGTTATAAATTAGTCCAATTTAATAGAGCTAAAATGCTTTGCTTTTTGTATAGCAAAAGTGCTATGGATGAATTTGGGAGTGGTTTTACTGTTTTAGAAACTGATCAGTGGCATAACCATATAGTACTAAAGTTCACTTCCTAGGATGAGGACATAACTTTGATAATCAATATGGTGACTAGATGATGCTCAATGCTGGATAGGGTGAGCAGTGATTCCATTCAGAGACTACTAGCAATGCTATCGTATTTAATGCTTTTTCCAGATCAGCAATCTTAAAAAAACAGCATTGTGTATCTTTATTTTTACCAATTCCAATAATTACCACTCTTTAAACTAACAGTTTACAAGTAACCAAACTGTGCCTTTCTCACATAGCACAGTTTCTTCTGTCAGACTTAGGAGAAGAAAAAATTCCTCAGCACCACATAAGCAAAAAGAAAAAAAGCCGGAAGTGGCGCTGTGGCTCAAGTGGTAAAGCTCTAGCCTTGAGCTGAAGAGCTGAGGGACAGCGCCCAGGCCAAGAGTTCAGGCCCCACGACCAGCCCCCCCCCCAAAAAAAATTAGTAGGTTGATATGTCAGTGGAAGAAAAGACCACATAAAGGATCCATAAAATCTAACAAATCGGTATGCTCTGAAATTAAGAAAACTGAATGAAAAACTTGGGTGGGAGGGAGGGAAAGAAAGAGGAAAAGGCTAACATCTAGCAAGATGCATTGTGTTCATAAACTAATTTGTTGACTGGTGACTCCTTTGTACAACTACTTAAAGACAATAAAATATGCTTAAAATAAATAACATGAAAACATTAAAATGTATTAACACACAAACAAGCAATCAAAAGGAAATAACGTGAAAATAACATGAATATGCTGGTGTATGTGGCTCACACACCTGTAACCCTAGCTATGCAGAGACTGAGAACTGAGGATCCCAGTTCAAACCTCGCCTTGACAGGAAAGCCTCTGAGATCCTTATCTCCAATTAAGCCCTGAAAAAACAGAAGTGGAGCTGTGGCTCAAGTGGTAGAGTACTAGCCTTGAGCACAAAAGCAAAGGGACAGCTCCCAAGCTCTGAGTTCAAGCCCAAGAATAAGCATAAAAGAAAAAGATTTAATAAATAATATAATTTGATATAACTCTTGGACTTCATTTCATATTGTGGAAACATGGTAATAACTTACTTTATTAAAATTTATGAACTTAAATAAAAATATAAATGATTTACTTTTGATATGGAGAATAGCACAACTAAATAAATGTAAAATATGTTTATTTTATTTATCTTCCAGACTATATTTTCTTGAGATATTGTATATTAGGTCTTAAGTTCCTTGTCTAAATGAGTTCATCTGATTCTCCATAGTAGGTGTAGGGTCCCTGATCACTTAGGGATACAGTAGAAAAACTTACCTGATTGCAATCCAGCCTGTAGCTCTCTGGAACATATCTTGGCATCATATAGTTGAGAGTCCATGCAGGTTAGTCTTGACTTCATTAGCTATCTAAACTCAGTCTTATAATATCTATCATAAACTAATACATCTTTTATTCTTCAACATCAGGATAATATTAGTCACAATCTCACAGAGGTGGTGAAGGATTTGTTATAAATGGTGAGAAAAAAAAGCTGTACCAGGTATGCCATTTTTTGGATACTTCATATGTAATCTATGTTGAGAAGAGCATTGTACTATATTATAGGAGACCATTAAAACCATGCTTTTAAAATAGTAGTTTTGAACAAGAGATTTTTTTTCTTCATTGTATGTTTTTCTTTCCTTTCTGGCTTGTTAGTTTATCTATCTTTGTGATATAAGCAGGGCACAGAAATGGAGGGAAAAAGGGTGAACAAATGCAGCAGTGCTACTCAATAGATGACATATTGAAAATGAACTTCACACTTGTGGGTGAGGATAGGAGGGGAAAACTAGGAAAGAGTGAAGGAAGGGGGTGATATTATCTAGAAAAGAAATGTTCTCTTTACCTGACTTATGTAGCAAAAGTGCCTCACTTTTATAACAATAACAACATTTTTTAAATGACTGATTTTTAGCTTCTTCAAGTGTGGATACTGAAGTTCATGAGTAAGTTACTTGACCATGGTTCACAAAAAATGTTAAAACTAAGGTTCTGATTCCAGGTAAATCTGACTGTGTTATATCTTCTCCTTCTCCACTGGCTTGTACTCATTCACATTCTTTCAAATGCTGCCAAGTAATCTATACTTTGAGGTATGTGACAGTGGGAAAACGACCTTGAGATGCCTAGGGCATTGCTCATATGTCTCCTCATATGTGGTGCTGTTTTGTAAGAGTTGCATAAGAAGCAGGAAATCAACACTCTAATATTTTTCATGATGAACCCAAGTAATAATTCTCTGTGATGCATTCTTATCAATGTGTGAATAAATAAAGACAGAACTTATGTGTGAGAGTGACAAATAAATCATATTGCTCGGTCAAGATGTTGCTTTCTCAATTTTAAGAATCAGTACCATCCACACATCTTTACTTCTATGCCCCGGAGGTTTCTTGAGTTGCAGTCATTATTTTTCTTTCATAATTATGTGGATAATACCTTAGGGAAATATTCTCAAATGCTCTCAACACTCATGACTGCGTTATAAATAGTGAGAAATTACCATTTGCTGTTCTCCTCTGCTGAAGGTAGGTTTGCAAGTTTTAGAATCTTTGCAGTACAGAATGATGCGGTCAAATCTTGTAATGTTAAGGATTATTTTCGAAAGAGCCCTAAAACAGTAATTATAGACTCATTTCTGATGAGTGTTTTATTAGACATTGATTTACACTTTATTGTTTAAAAAAATATATGAATGGAGGTGGGAATATTAAATTGGTGGGAGTGATTCAGTAATTTATGCTATCATTATTTATCTTTGTGGGTTCTAAAAGGAATATTACTAAAATTGATTTCTCATTTGTGAATTACACATTCTACCAACTTGATTATGTGTCTAGATGATGCATCTCTATCTAGTAAACATTTTTTTACCATCCGATCTTAGATCAATGGCATCTTTTAAACTTTGAAGAGTAGAGACAAGCAGCTGTGATCTCTGCAGTCTAGCCTATTCTAAAATCACAAACTTAAGTTTATTTCATCCAGTACAAAGTAGAAAATGAATGATATCCTCCTTTGTAATCAACTCTGTATTGTACATAGAATATTAATAGAACCTTTTATTAAAGTATTGGTTACAGGAGACTTTTAAGAGGACAAAACAAGGATTAAATAATGTGATTTGTGATTTATATCTAAATACTGCCAATTACTAGTATCTGACACAGGGAGATCTAAATCTCTCACTGCTTCATTTTCTTCACTAGCAAAATGAATTACAATTTGAATAGAGTTTGTTTCATAGGATCTTCCATGATAAAAAAAAAGTTGTAAGTATTTGTTAAAAACATGGTATTCATCCAATAGTTTAAACCTTGGTGGGTGGGCTGTAGAAAACATTTTCCCTAGAGAATGTAGGTAATAAAATATGAATTATGAAATAGGATTTTTTAGAGATCAGAAAGCTTTGTAAAATCCCCCCTGCTATTTCTAAACATTTATTACATGCAAGTAGTCAGGCCTTCTAATGAGTTCCAAGGAAACTGAGGCAAGGCAGTAAGAATTTAGGCTTCTTAGACACCTTTGTGTTATAGTATTTTATGGCTTACACAAAGTAGGAATACTATTAACAAATTGTATCAAATAAAATTCTTATAATGAGAGATTATGTGTAATTTCTTTATGATCTGACTTTATTTTTCTTTTTTGTGTTGGTCTTGGGGTTTGAACTGAGGGTCTGGGCATTGTGTGGGTTTTGTGATCAAGACTAGTGCTCTATCACTCTACTACTACAATTCTGGATTCTTTGATAGTTAATTGGAGATACAAGTCTCATAGACTTTTCTGCCTGGGCTGGCTTTGAACCATGACCCACAAATCTCCACCTTTCGAGTACCTAAGATTACAAGCATGAGCCACTCAGCACCTGGTTCGATTTTGTTTGTTTGTTTGTTTTTTGCAAAGCAAAACCTCTGACTTTAACTCTGTTTCCTAACCAAAGTTTACAGCTGTCATCTACCTCCTAGCAGGCAAACTTAAAATCATTAAAAGTGACTTAAAAGCAAGTAAGCTACATGCCTGGAAATATCTCCTAACTCAAATCAGAATTTAAAGTTCAGAGCCTGTTCATGTTATATGCTTGGCCCATTTTATACATAGTTGATCACCATAGTGACCATTGGCAAACATCTATATTCCTATATCTATATTTTTTATTCAATTATTTAATTTAGAGAAGAACAAGATAATGCAATGTAGAAGTTTCCAGAGAGAAAGAAATACGTTTACCGCTTTAAACTTTCTCCATAGGCGACATAGACTGGGTCTGTGTTCCAGGCAATGCCAAATTTCACGGATGTCACAGAGTTTCTCCTCGTGGGGTTGACGCGCCGGCAGGAGCTCCGGGTGCTGTTTTTTGTAGTGTTCCTCTTAGTGTACGTGATCACCCTGCTAGGGAATATTGGTATGATCATTGTGATCAGCATCAGCCCCCAGCTGCAGAGCCCCATGTACTTCTTCCTGAGCCACCTGTCCTTTGTGGACGTGTGGTTCTCCACGAATGTGACCCCCAAAATGCTCGAAAACCTCCTGTCACAGACGAAAACCATCTCCTACGTGGGCTGTCTGGTGCAGTGCTACTTTTTCATCGCCCTGGTCCACGTGGAGGTCTATATCCTGGCAGTGATGGCCTTCGATCGCTACATGGCCATCTGCAACCCTCTGCTGTATGGGAGCAGGATGTCCAGGACGGTGTGCGTGCGGCTGGTCTCCGTGCCTTACCTCTACGGCTTCTCCGTGAGTCTGGTGTGCACCCTGTGGACCTACGGGCTGTCCTTCTGCGGAAACCTTGAAATCAATCACTTCTACTGCGCAGACCCGCCCCTCATCAAGATCGCCTGCGGAGGAGTGCACATCAAGGAGTACACCATGATCGTCATTGCGGGCATCAACTTCACCTACTCGCTGTCCGTGGTCCTGATCTCCTACACCCTCATCGTCGTGGCCGTGCTGCGCATGCGCTCGGCAGAGGGGCGGAGGAAGGCCTTCTCCACCTGCGGGTCGCACCTGACCGCTGTGTCCATGTTCTATGGAACCCTCATCTTCATGTACCTGCGGAGGCCCACCGAGGAGTCGGTGGAGCAGGGCAAGATGGTGGCCGTGTTCTACACCACGGTGATCCCCATGCTGAACCCCATGATCTACAGCCTGAGAAACAAGGATGTGAAGGAGGCAGTGCAGAAGGCGGTGGCCAAGGCCAGCTTGGCCTCGTGAGATCACCGCGGGTGTTTTAGAGTGACGTGATATCTATCTATCTATCTATCTATCATCTATCTATCTATCTATCTATCTATCTATCTATCTATCTATCTATCTATCTATCTATCGATCGATCGATCGATCGATCTATCTGCCTATCTATCTGCCTATCTATCTATCTGCCTATCTATCTGCCTATCTATCTGCCTATCTATCTATCTATCTATATCTATCTATCTATCTATCCATCTATCTATCTATCTATCTATCTATCTATCTATCTATCTATCTATCTATCTATCTATCTATCTATCTATCTATCTGCCTATCTATCTATCTATCTATCTATCTATCTATCTATCTATCTATCTATCTAATCTATCATCAAGGTGTTGTCACTGGTGAATACAGTGAGCCTTAATCAATGTCTCCCCTTTCAACATTCTCGATTCTTGTTTTTTCCCTTTATATATATATATATATATATATATATATATATATATATATATATGTATATATATATATATATATATATATATTATAGTAAAGGATACTGTACAGAGGGGTTGCAGCTACATGAGCAAGGCAATCGATTCTTGACTGCATGCCCTGCCTCTTGACCCCTTCCTTTGTCTGCCTCTCTCCTCTTGACCCCACCCTGCCACCTTCCAAGACCCACTTCTAGGGGTTTTATTGAACTTTGACTTTGCTTTTCTAAGGAATTACACAATTTGCTTCTCCCTTGAATCTACCATGTTAACATGAATAAATTTGTATATGAATATCCACCACCCAGTGCCTTTGCTTATGTACAAAGGAAATCATGCATTCTTTGTCTCTCTGGGTCTGACTTACTTCATTTAGCACAATTATTCCAGATCTTTTCATTTCTTTACAAATGGTTCAATATCATACTTTCTAATGGCTGAGTAAAATTCCATTATATACAAACATAATCACATATATGTATACATGTATGTGTGTATAAAAAACACATTTTCTTGATCCATAAGACACACTATCTAAAGACAACCTTTACCTAAAGTAATAGGTCCAATCTAAGAGTGTTGCCCTGAAGTGATTTATGGAGACCAAGACCTGAAAATATGTGTTGTATATTTTTTGGATGAGATTCATACCACCTGTACAGACCCTTAGCTCATAGTGGTGAATGTGAAAGTAATATATTCCTATGAGTGTACAATATATTTAGAGTTAAATAGCTACAGAATTTAGTCTGGAAAGTCACACTTCCTTCCATAAGAACATTGCAGGAACATGTGTCTTTGTACCTAAACTCAGAAAATTGCTCAAGACAAATTATATATAAATCTATTGCACATAAAAGCCTTTGAACTAGTCATGGCTTCTCAAGGTCAGAGAAGTTGAATATAATCAATCTTCTTTATACCCAGTCTATTTCTGTCTCTTATCTATTTCAGATACTTACACACTTCTTTCTTGTAGGCACAGATTAAAACAGTTTATCTTTTTATCATAGACTGAATTGTGCCTTCTCAAAATATTTTAAGTCTGAGATATACAGGGCATAGGGTAGAGTTCACTGACATAATGTCACACAGAATAGCCCTTTATCTTTTTTTTCATTTGGTTATAGAATTTTTGTTTTTTGTATTTATATATATTTATTGTAAAAATACGTACAGAGTGGTTACAGTTACACATGAGTAAGGTCATGAGTACATTTCCTATTGAGCAATGTTATCTCCTCCTTTGTTTTTCCCTTACTATCACTTCCCTCCCCACCTCCCCAGCTCCTTCTTTTCCTTCCCCCCCAAAGTTGTAAAGTTCATTTTCAACATAGTGTCTTGAGTGGTATTCTTGCAGAAGAAAAGGGTCTGGATACAAAAATAGAGAGAAGAGGCAAACAAAGAAAGAGGAATAGTTTGGGAAATGACTGAGGTTAGTAGATGGGAAGGAGAGACTGGGAGAATCAGGGAACAGAAGACAGTGTTCAAAAGGAAATGTACTCATCACCTGATTCATGTAATTGTAACACCTCTGTATATCACCTCTCTAATAACAATATTAATTTTAAAAATAAAAGAGGAAAAACACTGGACACTCTCTTAGTATGTATCTTCATAGGGATATTTCACATTTTTAGAGTGAACATATAAGAATATAATTTTGTTGTTTTGAACCATCCAGTTTGTGGCATTTTAACATCCATAAAATATTAATGCATTATGTTTATCTTTGGTTGATATGTTGGAACCATATATTTATTTATTATTTTATTTATTATTAGTAGTATTTTGCTGGGGTTCTGGGCCTTGAACTCTGGGCCTCTGTCTGTCCCTAAGCTACTTTTGCTTAATTAAACCTAGCACTCCACCACTTGAGCTACAGCACCACTTTTCTGAGATTAATTGGCGATAAGAGTCTATGCCCGGGCTGGCTTTGAACCATGAATCTCAGACCTTAGCCTCCTCAGTAGCTAAGACTACAGTCATGAGCTGTGTCCAGCTCTTGGAGCTTATTTAAAGCTAGTCTTTGTGAAGGTGAACTATCCATCTATTCTGGTCTAAGTGAGTCCTTAACTCTATCTACCCTTCCATTCTACTATCATTCACTTGGTTCCTGGTTTTGCAACACTTTAGATATAGCTAGGAATTACCTGGTGGAAGATACACAGTCTTTGAGAAAAATCCAGTAACATTAAATTTTACTTATATTACCTAACTCAGACTCACCCCATATTTTCCAAGATATTAATAATCTTCCTTTCAATCTCGTATTTACTGTTTAACCTGTGAGCTTAGACTTTTATTTAGTGAGATGTTTTTGTAATTACAAAGCAAGAAACAACTAAACTATTCATGTTTAGAGTCTGTGCTGTTAGATATTAATTTCTATGTCTTGGATTAATTAAAACATTAATTTCTATGTCTCAGATAGATGGCTTCCCACTACCCTCCCCACCTTCCCTCAAACCCCAACAGTTTGATGCTATACTTAATGTTTCTCTGCTTTCTTCGAATAACTTGTGTCATGAAAAAGATTCATATGTGAATTTCCTTTCTGCTTTAGTGTTAATGTTCAATTGATATTTAGTTATGATTATAATGAAGTTTGGTGAGGTATATTTCTTTACCTTATGTATGGTGTATTCACGTGTACATCTTCTGGAGGGATGGTAAAGAACTCAAGGCAAAAGGCAGGAAAAAGTGTAGTAATAGGAGCTCACTGGACATAGATGAAAGTGAACTATGCTAACTTGTGGGTGGAGATGGGAGGAGGAACTGGGGGATGAATGAGGGAACAGAACAAGACATTGTACTATACACATTACCTGACTCTTGTAATTGTAATCCCTCTGTATATCACCTCTACTAACAACAAGCAAGTAAACTTAATTAAAAATGAAAGAAAAGTTTTTTAAAAAACAAAACTATAACTTAGTCATCTATTGTGGTTTGGAAGAGAAACAGGTCCCAAAGTCCATTTGGCTGTTGCTGCTGACATTATGGGGAGGTGGTGGGAACTTCAGAAATGGGGCCTTCTTGGAGGCACTGCACTAGTGAAGATGTGCCCTAGAAAGGTTTCTATGGTTCACTAACTCCTTCACTCCTTGGGTTTCCTGGCTTCCATGACTTGAAAATCTTTATTTGGACCTGTCCTGTCCACTGTGCTGACCTACCTGATCATAGATTAAAGGCATCCGTGGATACACTGTGACTTCTGAAATTGTAAGCAAAATAGATCTTCACGTCGATTTCCTCAGGGGTTGCATAAGTCTATCTTTGCTTCATTTTGGGATTTTCCACATAGGTGATATCATAAACTATCTTCTGGCAGCTTCTATGTTTCCTTAAAGTCCTATGAGTCCATCAATACCATGAAATGATAGAATTTCATCTTTTATACATCAATGATTAACCATGATACACATACACAAAGTTATCTTTATTAATGAAAATAGTGCTGAAATAGTTAGAGACAGTGATTTTGTTTCCTTTGGATACATACCTAGTTTAAGATTGCTGGGTTATATGGTAGTTCTGTTAATAATACTTTGTTTAAATTAGTTCCCCTAACTTAGATTTCTACTAATGGTTTGTAAGTATTTTGTTGAAGCTGTCAAATTGTTTTAGGAATACAGAATTAACAGTTAGATGAGAAGAATGCTTTTCTGTGTTCTATTGCACAGAATGACTATAATAATTAATTATAATACATCTTCCAGTATACCTTGAAGAATGACATTTGCATGTTTCACCTCAAATACATATGAGATGTTTGAGGTACTGAACATGCAAGTTACTCTGATTTGGTCATTGTACAATCTAAACACATATCCACACATCATGTTATACTCTATAAATTTGCACAATCATTGTGTGAAATAAAAATAAAAAAGCCAAAAAACAAAGCCCAAACAAAAGAGTGGGTTGTCATAAATGTATGCTAAAATTATCCAGCCAGATTAGGCTTTGGCCTTGTGTGGTCAGTTGGCCAAATTTGGCTCACTGGTACTGCCTCTTTTATTGTGACCCTGGATCTAAATATGTTTCTTTTTCCCATTATTAATATTGTTATTATTATTTTTAAATGTCAGGTGTTGGGTAAAGCTTTATTTATTGTACAAATACTATACAGAGGGTTTACAGTTACATGAGTAAGGTAATGCGTACATTTCCTATCAAGCACTATTACCTCCTCCTTTGTTTTTCCCCTACCATCCCTTCCCTTTCCACACCCCCAACTCCTCCCTCCCCTTCCCCAAGTTGTAAAGTTCATTTTCAACATAGTGTCTTGACATCTCATTGTTACAATGGGTAAACCCGTATCCTTATTTTAGCATTTTATTATTTCCCCTCCCTTCCCCAAATTAGAAAAATGTATATACAAGATGCAGGCACCGACATCAAATACAATGTAAACAAGGGTTATTCCGTGGGGGAAGACCATCCTAGAGAAACAAAAAAAATCACATAGTATATTTTAAATATCTTAAAAAAAACTATAGCAAGAAAGAAAACACCAATTGT